CAATCAAACAATGAAGTTTGCCCCAATTTTTTTTACTTCGTCTTGGATCAACTCCTCTGTACTGCCAAATAGTTTGTTTTTATGCTATAAAAGTCATTTTTTATGTGGATTATTTCTGCTGCAGGTTTAGTTACTTGAAAAAAAAATTCAAAACAAAATTGTCACAGAACGGAAAGAGCGATTGTTTTAAAGATCAAAGCATTTTGCTGCTTTCAGAGTAACAAGCTCCTGTAGTTTCATTATTTGAAAACAAAATTGTTTTAGTTGTTCTTTTTTCTCATTGGATTATTTTGAACTAACAACCAAAAGCATATTTGTTGTATTTTTAAAAAAATTTAAAACAATTCAAAATTGCTGGTTTATTTTACGTTCAATGCTGCGGGGTTTCGAATTTACTCACAAAAAATGGTTTGCATTCGACTTTATACAATTTATGTAGCAAATACCTGAAAAAATTTATTTGCATCAATTTAAAATTGCTTTAGTTTGATCCAAAAATAAAGCTGAAAAAATGATTTAAATCATTTCTATGTCAATTTAACTCAGTTTTTGTCATTTTTTTGCTTTATTTCATACGGATTTTGAGTTTTAGAAAAAAACTGATTAAAATTAATTTAAATTGATTTTTGTCCTTTTTTTGTATACTCATTTTACACAGATTCTTCACAGAAAATATTCAGATTTCTTCGGATATCAATAAAGTGAGAAAACTGGAACAAAAATTGTCCGGCATGCTTTTCGTTTGATTGTCGTGCTTATCTTTTCTCTGAAAAATATAGCTGAAGAGTATAGCTAATATATAATTTTTTGAACAAGAAAAGAGTTATTCTAAATTGAATTTATCGTATGAGTATCCTTTGTATAAAATATTTTGCTTAGAACTTTGATAAAGAAATTGACATTTGGAGAAGTTTTGGGTCATTTTAATTTTCATACCTCGGGAGACCTTAGAGACCAAATCCTAAAACGAATTCCCTTCATCGCAAGAATTTACGGTAAAAATTTCTCCTCCATTGACTCTTTTTCTCTGTAGATCCGATGGAGATTTTTCTTGAGTACAAAAGTTTGATGAAATTTCAAAACAAAAGATGATTACATCAAATCAATTATGAGAATTTGACGTAATTCTTTGCTGGCAACGATCCATGTAAATCGATTTAAATCGTTCTTTTAGGCAATAAAAATGACAGTTTTTTTCTACCGTGAAACTCTTTTCAGTCCATTCTAAAGCAGCTTACGTATCTAATTGGGTTATAGTAAATCGATTTCCGCACAGTTTTTTATCTATATAAAAAATTCAGTCCAATTCAAATTGTCAGTGCGTCTTCCGAGTCTTTTTTGTTACATAAAAAAATTGGAGCGAAATGCGTGTTTTTTAACCGGTATATTTAAACGGCAACTGGAAAGAAGGAAAATGAAGCTTGAGTTAAGAAATTCAAAAAGACAAAAGATTTTAATTTTTTTTCTATGTCAATTTAACTCAATTTTGTAATGTTTTTTTTAGCTTTATTTCACACGGATTCGAGTTTTTAAAAAAAATGATTGAAATCGATATAAATTGATTTTAGTCCATTTTTTGTATAATAATTTTATACCGATTCTACGCAGATATTATTCAGACTTTTTTGGATTTCAGAGAACTAAAAAAATTGTAAATAAAGTTATCCGGCATACGTTTTGTTTGATTGTTGTGTTTATTTTGTGTCTAAAAAAACCGAGTATAGCTAATCTGTCATTTTTTGAATCTAATATGAAATCTAAATTGAGTTCATATTTTATGTATCGTTTGTGCAAAATTAATGTCCCTATAACGTTGATAGAGAAAATGACATTTGGAGAAGTTTTGAATAATTTTTCTTTTTATACCGCGGGAGACCTTAGATAGGCAAAACTCCCTTCATCAAAGAATTTGCGGTAAAAAGCTCTTCTCGACTTTTTTTCTACCGTAGAATTCTTTCAATCTATTCTAAATCAGTTTACGTATCTGATTAGGCTATCGTAAGTCGATTTCCACACAGTGTTTTTTCAAAAAAAATTGATTCAAATTCAAATTTGTCAGTGCGTCTTTTGAGTACTTCTTGTTACAAAAAACTGGAGAGAGTTAGGTTTTTTGTTTAAACGGTAAATTAATTGGAGAGAGGAAAACGAAGATTGAGTTTAAGATTTCAAAAAAAAAACAAAAGGTATTATTATAGAATGGACACTGCTTGAAAATTAAAGATAAAAGGTTTTCATAAATTTGTGATTCTAAATAGCTGTTTATTTATTCAATAAATTGTTGCAACTTTCTTCTGTTATTGTTTCTACAGATTTTCAAAACTAGAAACTATTGTTCGGTATTGTTTTATCTGTCTAGATTACTTGATTTTTTAGTTACTAGATTGCATTTACTACACTAATACTGCCTAGGGATGAAGTAATTGAACACAACTTGCCAAAGTGAAAAAAAAAACGAACTGATTTCAAAAGTTTGTCATTGTTTACCTCTGTAGTTTCTTCATTAGTTTCATTTTCGATCACTTTTTCTATATTTGTGCAGCCTTAGCGTAAGAGAAATTGATAATTGTCGGAGAGTTAAAGCAAATTTTGAGGTGCGGGTTGCCTTTAGTGAACGAACAAACATAAAAGAGCTGCCTAGGTATCAAAAATTGAAAATTTTAGAAATGATTTTGTTTTGTTAACTTAATTGTTTTATCTCTTGCGTAGCTTTTCTGTTGCGTAGGGTTCGCTCTTTAATATTTGAGCGTAAGTTTATCTTTTTCTTCACGAGAAAACAATTTTCACGAGCACAAATCAGTTTTACCGAAATTCTTACCTACTGTGGATATACCAAAAAGCTGAAAAATGTGCTTTTTCCAACGAGAAATCAGTTAGTTGGACTTCAGATATCTGAATTTGCATAAAACAGATGCTTCCTAAAGCTAATTTCATCTAAAGTTTTGAAACCCGAAAATGTTAACTGCATTACAATCTTTCTTTGATCAGGCAATCAAAACATGAAGTTGGCCCCATACGTTTTCACTTTTTCTCGGATGATCTCCTCTGTTGTGCCAAATAATTTATTTTTATGCTATGAAAAGCTACTTTTGATGTGAATTTTTTCTGCTGCAGGTTAAGGTACTTTTTCTGCTGCAGGTGCAAAAAAAACTTCCAAAAAAAATTTCACAAAACGGGAAAAAAGATTTATTAAAGGTCGGAGCGTTTTGCAGCTTGCACAGTGATAAGCTCCTCTAGTTTTATTAATTGAAAACAAAATCATTTTACAAGGGCTTTGACAAGAAATGGTTTGCAATCAATTTTATATAGAATATCAAGCGAAGACCTACAAAATTTATTTGCATCGATTTAAAATTGATTCAGTTTGATTCCAAATTGCAGCTTAAAATCTGATTTGAATCAATTCTATATCAATTTAACTCAAACTTGTCATGTTTATTAGTTTTATTTCTTACAAAGTTTAAATTTTGAAAAAGTTCTTCAAAATTGATTCAAATAGACTTTTTTTTATACTCATTCCATACAGATTATATACAGATTTTATTCAGATTTGATAGAATGTCAAAGAAATGAGAAAAATAGAAAAAAGTTAGTCTGGATGTTTTTGTTTGATTATCGAGATTATGTGGTGTATAAAAAAAAACGGAGTGTAGCTAGTCTGTATTTTGTTTGAAAAAAATTGAGTTGTTCCAAACTAAATTTATCATTCATATATCATTTGTGTAAAATAGTTGTGCATAGAACGCTGATAAAGAAATCGACATTTGTAGAGTTTTACTTTTCATACCGCGGAAGACCTTAGATTGGCCTAACTCAAATTGGATTCCCTTCATTGAAAGAATTTGCGGTAAAAAACACTCCTCAAGTGACTCTTTTTCTCTGCAGCTCCGATAGAAACTGTTCTTGAGTATGGAAATGTGGTAGAATTTCGAAAAAAACGGAATAATTACATCAATCAATCAAGAAAATTTGATGGAATTCTTTGCCTTGCAACGATCTATGTAAACTGATTTAAATCGAATCGACCACTTAGGCATTAAAAACGACGTTTTTTTTTCAAACGTATAAATCCTTTTAATCCATTCTAAATTAATTTACGAATCTAATTAGGCTATCGTAAGTCGATTCCCACACAGTATTTTATCTATAAAAAATTGATTCTTTTTCAAGTTTGTCAATGCGTTTTTTGAGTTTTTTTTTGTTATAAAAAACTAGAGAGGTAGGTTTTTGTTTAAACGGAAAATTAACTGGAGAGAATGGAAACTAACCTTGCGTTTACAGTTTCAAAAACACAAAAAGTATAACTATATAATGAACACTGCTTAAAAAATAAAGAGGAAACAAGTTAGTAAATTTGAGATTCTAAATGGTTGTTTATTTATTCAATAAATTGTTGTACTTCTGTTACTGTTTCTACAGGTTTTTCAAAATTTGAAACTATTGTTTGCTATAATTTTATCCGTCTAGCTTGTTTAACTTTTCAATTACTAGATTGCGTTTACTACACTACTATTGCCTAGGGATGAACTAACTGAAAACAACTTGCCAAACTGAAAAAAAAACGAACTGATTTCAATTTTTTTGTAATTTTTCACCTCTATAGCTTCTTCAATATTTAATTTTTCAATCACACTGTCTATATTTGTTCAGCCTTAGTGTCGAAGAATTTAGTATTTGACGGAAAGTGAAAAAAAAACATTAGTTTTGAGGTGCAGATTGCCTTTAGTGAATGAACAAACTTATAGAGCTGGCTAGGTATCAAAAATTGAAATTTTCAGAAATGATTTTTTTGTTAACTCAATTTTTTTTCTCTTGCGTAGCAAACCTGTTGCTTAGGGTTCGCTCTTAAATATTTGTGCGTTAGCATCCCTTTTTCATCACAATAAAATAAATTCCACGAACACAAAACAGTTTTACCGAAACTCTTACCTATTGTGGGTATCCCGAAAAGCTAACAAATGTGCTTTTTCAAAAGAAAAACCAACTAGTTGGGCTTTAGATGTCTGAATCTGGAGTAAAACAGGTGCTTTTTAAAGCTAATTTCATCTAAAAAATTTTTAACCCGAAAAACTTATCTGCATTACCATCTTTCTTTGATCAGGCAATCAAAACCTGAAGTTGGCCCCACACTTTTTTACTTTGTCTCGGATGAACTCCTGTATTGCCAAATAATTTATTTTTTAGCTTTGAAAAGTTAATTTTGATATGAGTTTTTTCTGCTGCAGGTTAAGGTACTTGAAAAAAAACTTCAAACAAAATTGTCACAAAACGGGAAAAAAGATTTTTTTAAAGGTCGGAGCGTTTTGCAGCTTGCACAGTGACAAGTTTTATTAGTTGAAAACAAAATCATTTTACAAGGACTTTGACAAGAAATGGTTTGCAATCGGTTTTATACAGATTTTGTAGCAAAGACCTAAAAAATTAGTTTGCATCGATTTAAAATTGATTTAGTTTGATTCAAAAAGGTAGCTTAAAAACTAATTTCAATCAATTACATGTCAATTTAACTCAATTTTGTCAATTTTTTTTTTAGTTTTACTTCACACGGATTTTGAAAAAATGATTAAAAATGATTTAAAATGACTTTTGTCCATTTTTTTATACTCATTTTTTACAGAATCTATACAGATATTCTTCAGACTTTTTTGGAAGTCAAAGAAATGAGAAAATTAGAAAAAAAGTGAGCCTGCATGTTTTTTGTTTGATTATTGTGATTATGTTGTGTCTGAAAAAAAAACGGATTATATCTAGTCTGTAACATTTTTGAATCAAAAATGAGTTGTTCTAAGTTGAATTTATCATTAATATATCATTTGTAAAAAATATTTGTGCATAGAACGTAGATAAAGAAAAGGACATTTGGAGAAATTTTGAATAATTTTACCTAGAGTGACTCCTCTCCTCTGTAGCTCCGATGGAGACTTTTCTTGAGTACAAAAATTCGGTCAATTTTCGAAGCAAAAAGAATAGTTACATCAACTCAATTATGAGAATTTGATGGAATTCTTTGCCTTGCAACGATCTATGTAAATCGATTGAAATCGACCTTTTAGGCAAGCAAATCGACGATTTTTTTTCTACCGTAAAAGTCCTTTTAATCCATTCTAAATCAGCTTACGTATCTAATCGGGCTATCGTAAATCGATTTCCAAACAGTATTTTATCTAGAAAAAAATTGATTCCAATTCAAGTTTATCAGTGCGATGCAAGAAAACCTGCTGACAATAGTAAATCTTGAACCATGCAAGGTTTCATTGCATCATAAAAAGACAAAAATGTATTTTCAAAATGAAAATTCGAAGGGGGGTTGGAAAAAAGCCCCAATTGGTGCCCAGTCATAGCCGATCCTAAAAAAAATCCATAGTAAAAGAGCGATTGCTCCTGCTTTAAAACCGGTATCTATACAACAATTTACAATTTAAGAAGTGCCAATTGGTAATAGCACAGAAAACGATAATGAACAAAGTTGCAATTTCAAAGTTTGCAACGCAGATGAAAATTAGCGTAGAAATGGTGCATGAAAATAGATGGAACGAAAACATGCGCAGATTTGGAGAACCAATACGTGATGAGATTATAATTAAACTTATTTCTGAAACCATCCCATCATGTGTATGGGGTATTTGTTTACTTCGTCCAGCTTTTCGAAGAAGCTGTGTGCCTCTCTTAACATCTCCGGTGTCTTTCTGTCTCTTATTATTATGTTTTCCGCGTAAAACTTGCCAGGTTTGCCGTCCTCTGTTGGGATATCTGACATTGTGCGTCGTCCGTCAGTGAGCTGTTTTGTGACCTTTTTTCCATTAAAATAAGCGTGCACGCACGACCCGAGCCACAAATCCTCAGGTCGCCAGAAACAAGGTCGTGAAAAGTTGAAACTGGCACTGTCTCCGTAGAAGCCAACACAATGTTGGGCACATTTTTGAATTAAGTTTTGAATTAAGGGTCTGGCCCAAATAGACAACTGACCGGTGCATGACTCAAAGGGCAAATATAAAGAGGGTATCACTACAAAGGGAATATGATGGTGGTTGTTGCGTGGGGTTCGTTGGACTTGACACATACCCGCGGTATTCAGAGGCACGTGACCGTCGGCTGACACTTGGCTGTTAGTCCAGTTGACTCGGAGACCAGGGTTTCTCATATCCACATGGTTCTGTAGCTTCCGCAGAGCAGCGTCAACTCTTCCGATTCTGCTGTAAGTGTCATCGTCGCTTTTCATGAAGTATGCAAAACTTGGACAGTAGCAAAACGCGAGTTTCATAGCCGAGAGAATTTTGAGCGGTGTCAAATCGTAACCTTCTGGAGTATTGAAGACAATAACGTCACCATAACGATCGATTTCTTCGTGCACACCGTCTGTTTCACTCTGTGATGACGGGCGACTTATAGCAAAAAAGTAGACCCATGGGTTTTTGTTCTCCCCGATGGCTTGTCCTCTCTTTAATTTTGGGAGATAGGTCTCGCGAAGAGCTTTCCGCTGTGAGAACGATTTGACCCTCGAGTTAATCATAAGCACTCTCAAATTACCCGGAGACTGATTCGCAGCTGCGCACATTTCCAGAAGTCGCCTAGCATCCGATCCATTAAGTAACATACTCAAGCCCCTGCTTAGCTGGTGAAAAGGAGCATCGGGGTGAATTTTGACGGAGCCTACCAAGTCATCTTTCCAAGGTGTCTTCAAACAATTTTCAGCTGCGGAGATTTCATGCCGTATTTCGGATATAATTTTTTGGGACAAATATGCTGCGGTGTTCTGGTAATAAAAGTGGGCTTTAAACAGCATAATTATTGAAACAAATAGAAAAATAATAAAACAGAGTCTAAAATAGCGAAAGCAAATTTTGCTTGCCATCATCGGATAATAAGCAGAACTCCTGGAAAATTTTTGATACAGACTTCCTAAGATAGAACGATTACGTCTCAAATGGCATAATTCACAAATGGCATAAAAATGAAAAATTTCCCAAATGGCATAAATTTCATGCAACAGTTATTTTTTATTGTTCATTAAAAAAATTGAGAACAAATTTTTGATGAACAATATGAGAAAATTTGTCAAGTTGTCAATTAAAATGTCGATTGACTTTTTATTTTGAAAAAATTGCAGATTTTTTTAATCAAAAAGCATAAGCTTTCGGTTATTGATTAGCTTCTTGTGGTCAAATTATCCGCCAAATTTGTCGCTTAACTTTTGTTTGGAAGCAATTGATTCCATATGTTGTTCACATGTTTTGGTTCCTGGCAAAATAAAGTATTAGAAACTGATAGAAAACGTTTGACTTACAACGAAAACTTAGAATTTATGCTATTTGAAAAGTTTCTTTTTTATGCCATTTGGGAAAGTTACCGAAAGAACAGTGGCCCAAATTTTCAGCGATTCCTTTACCGCTTCTATCACTACTAATTCCAGATGAATTCTCAAAAGAAATTGAAACTTGTTGATCCAATTGTTTGGCAAGATTTGAAAAACGTTGAGTGGTCTCTTTTCATTTACTGTGACTGCATCTTTGTTAATTGTACTTATGATGCCAGTAACACTTTACTTTATAGCAGTTAATTTGTGAAGGCAATCTTCTATCAGAGTTTTAACGAAGGCTATACAAAGTATTTGCGAAGTTAATAAATAATTGTTTCTATTATACTCAATTTTTACATAACATTCATGAAAAGACAAGCGATTTAGTTTTGATGCAAATAAGAACGAATAACAGTAAGAAAAACGATGGCTGTCATAGTTATGCATGATGCACTTTCAAGCTAGCCCTTTTTATCCGTAAAAACGATATTTTGTTAATATTATGTTTGATAAATCAGATTGTGTTGCCGCCTCCTTGAAGAACGGTCTATGGGGGGGGGGGGGGGGGGGGGGTTTGGGGGTGTTAAATTGTTTTTTGAGCTCAGCCCTGAGGACGTAAAAAAGAATAGTGCCAAACTGTTTGAAGTATTTTAAGAAATATCGCACGATACGTTTCGTATGATAAACTTGGAATAAGTATGGTTTTTATTTTCTTGCCAAATACACTTAAGATTTGATTGCTGTGCTGGTATTTTGATGGGTTTGAGTGCACAGTTAGTGACAGATTAATCAACCAGGGTCAGTGATAAAAAAAGATAGGCGTAAAACCGGATCTATGTGCCCGAGTTACTTCAGAAATTAGTCCATACGCCTTGCACTTGTCCAAATTTTGCATGAAAGGATAATGAAAGATGTATGTCTGTTTGGCCTCTGATTTAGTCGTCTCAAATCAAGGCAAACTACCGTTTTGCGTTGAAGTGATATTTTACTAAAACGACGAGATAAAAAAGATAAGATTTTGTTTTTGAGAAAACAGTATTCGTAATTCCTGGGAGACTTCTGCAGAAACAAGAGAATTTAACTAGAAGGAACGGGGGGGGGGGGGGGGGCACTACTGATGCCGAAGTCAGGCTTCACTGATTTCACAAGATCAAGCTTGTTTAATGGGGAGGCGAAAAAAATTCGAGCCTTGCTGCCAGCCAAAGTCAGGGGCAAAAGTATAAGCAAGTTTGCTAGACGTGCCGGCCTAAAATTGCAGAATCTTCAGATAACGTCGATAAACTTGTTCTGGGTGGGTTGGTTAAATGTTACAGTCTTTGCCCGCCAATTTCGCTCAAAATATTTTTTGATTGTTCGTCAAATGTTATTGATCTAATTACAATACGTGGTCGGTTCGTCTTCCACTTTCGCTCAAGTTTATTTTGCTCAGGATTACAGAAATCTTTCAATTACTAACATTAAATTTGCTATAGAAAACATGCAATGAACATTTGCTTTGTCTAATTCCCGACCGGGATAGAAAGATTGGTAACTATGGTTCAGAGTGGAGTTTTGATTGCATAATCACGTACTTATAATAATAAATTCGTTTTCAAGAAATAACAGAATTGATTATTATTTACATAACTCACAACAATAACAAAAAAGTTCCCATCTTGGAAGAACACCAAAAAGGCCAGTTAACTTCAAGGTACACTCGTAGTGCATCATTCATGCGGTGTCGTAATGAAGTCCTTTTAGCCTTGTAATAGTAAAGCTGTTCTTCCGAACAAACTCTCGGCCCTACATCGTCTAGCAAACCACCAACCTCTATTTAAAACCCCTGATATATCACTTCTGTAAAAAAACGGCACCTCTCGGACCTACCGAGGAGTCGGAACCCAAAGCAAAGCAAAAAAGCCTTTTTTAAAATCTTTTTGTTAAAACAAGTGACCCTAAGGTCGAAATTGAAAACACAACCGTAACTTTTGACCCCGCCGCAACTGAATGCTTTGTCTTCAAATACTCGGCAGAATTAGAAAGAATGAAAATATTTACAGATGTATTTGTTACAGAAGTGATTTTTCAAGGGTTTTAAATAAAGGTTGGTGGTTTGCTAGACGATGTAGGGCCGAGAGTTTGTTCGGAAGAACAGCTATACTATTACAAGGCTAAAAGGGCTTCAGAAAGTCCCAGGGTTAAGCACGCAGATAACCAGCGAGAGTACGCCAGCCTCCGAAACAGAAAATTTAAACAAACTACTGGAACAGAAAGTTTTCAGCAGTTAGATCGAGATCGAAAATGCCCAACAATGCGAAAAAAATATCATCTTAAGAATCCCACAAATACATCAATTGAAGCACTTACCGTTGAGATACCAGCCCTGGCGGGGGAGTCGCAAATTGAATTTTATCCAAATCTTATCTGTGCACAGTTCCGGGTAGAAAGTGTCCTTCTATAACCTGGTTAGAGCTGCCACATTCGACGTGCTCGGCAGACTATCCGAACCCTTGAAGAAATGCAACCACCGGAAAACTGGTTTCAGTCGGAGTGTCTACTGGACGTCGAGAGGACTTTAAACAGAGCGCTGAGACTCCAGACAGGAGTTCAGACAGTGGACTGCAATTAAACTTTAAAAAGAAACCCTTAAAAGAAAGTTTAATTAATCCTATTTTTTCTTGTTTGGGTCAGTTCCTGTTTTAGAAAATTCCGCCTTTTCACGGATTCTTTTGTCCTCTAGACTCATTTTCACAGGCTTGCTACGTTTTTTACTTTGTACTTTTTTGTTTTGTCTTTGCTTTTTTTAACATCGCTATTTTGTCTCTGGCCTCCCATATAGCCTTTAGGCCACCTTTTTTTCGCATTATTTCGAGCGTTCGAGACTCTCATAATGTTGAGGTTTTCCTGCGTTGTTGTCCATTATTTGAGATTAATTTTTTTCCCGTGAAATTTGTTAGTTGCTTTTTGATTTTGCGAACACACGAACGCTTGCTTGCGAACCAAAAATGACCGAGCCAGTTTGCGTGTGTTGATCAATTCGACCTTTCAATCAATTCGTTTTTGACATGAAAGCATTTACCCGCACACAACAAATTACTCATCATAATTGCTTGATGTTAGCGCGGAATTGAGTAGTTTTTTCTACGCCTGATTAATCTCGTTTTTCAAGTCAAAATTGAAAAGTCTTAACCTCTTTTCCTGTTTGGTTTGCGCTGATTGTATAACCTTAATTATTTATTGGCGTTTAAGTTTTGCAAACTTACGATAAGAGTTGTAAATGAAGTAAGGACGACCAAACAAAACCTAAACAAAACCTCTTTTGAAAATTTTATTGAAAAATTTTCTTGTTGTATCTCAAAATCATGAGGCGTAAGATATCGTGATTCATCCTTCATTCAGTTTTGTGTGTGTAGTCCCGAAGTTGAATGTAGAGGCAACGCACAGATCTCAGGTTTTAGTCAATCGTCGTGTTTTCTGTAATCTCCGAAAAAAAGTTTTCTTGAAAGTTTTGTTGTAAGTGTCCTGTCCTCAAATTTACGACGGTTTCTTCGCAGTTTTTTAGTGAGTTGAGTTACCAGTTTTACCAGTGCCACTTTTAGTGCTACGATTGAGATATAATTGTGAAATGTCAATTTTTATAGCCTTCGTTTTTTGTTTTAATAGTCGCATTCCCTCTGAATTAGTGTGTACATCTAACCAGTCTACTTCACTGCAAGCAAATTTAGCGTAAAATGATGTTTTCAGGTTTTTTGTTCCGGCCATTGAAAATGGGGAAAACTTTCTATTCGGATGTTTTAGTTTTTTCCCACGCAAAATGAACTACCACAAATATTCATCGGACTGGGTTGAGTGATATATCATATTAAAGCCCTTACAGACTTGGTTCGAACCACAATAAATTTTCCCACTGTCAAGATTTTCCCAATGTCGAGAAAAATCGGTTAGAAATTTTAAAATTTTTGTCTTTATTCGAGCGAATCAAGCAAGCGAGCAGGCTTACAACAGCTGAATTATGTAATTTAATAATTTAAGACCCTAATACTTAATTTTTTGCATGTTAAACTAGTTTCTGGAGTTTTTCAGCTTCATTCTGGGAACCAAAAACTTCAAAAATTCAGAAAAATTTGTCAAAAAAATTTTGACAAAAATTTTTTTCTTTTAAAATTTGTTTGCTAGTTTTTTCAGTCATTTTTCTAATCATATGTCCAATTGGTCTATTTTACTGTGACTGTCTAATATGCTTAATTTATATTTTACGTCAGATCTTTTTATCACAGCAAGCAGAAAAAACTATCTAGTAATTGGGAAAAAAACCTTCTAAACCGTAGTTTTCTAAGGACTATGGTCGAAACATTCTGTGCTACTTGCGCAGTAATCCGCTATCCTTGTTTTTTTCACACAAAATCATGTTCCATAAGTCATCATCAGACTGTACTGAGTGATATATCACTAAAAAGCATTTTAATCCTGATGTGAACCACATTAAAGAATTCCCAAAACATTTTCCTAGTTTCAAGAAAAACCGGTTAACAAATTTTAATTTTTCGTTTGTTTCGAGCAAATCAAGCAAGCAATCAGGCATACAACAGCTTAATTAGAAGATTTGATCTCTTAAAATTAAACTTTAGGCAATTAAAATTAGTTTTCTGGAGTTTTTTAAGCTCCATTCTGTGAACCAAAACTTAAAAAATTCAAAAATTTTCCGAAAAAAAATTTGAAAAAAAATTTCTGAAATATTTTGCAGTTTTTTGTTTTTGTTTTTCTAGTCAATTTTTTGAAAACTGCTTGTCCATTTTGCCTTTGAAAAACTAACTGTTCTTTTGCGAGGCTAAACTGTGCTTTTTGTGAATTGTAAGTGGATTCCGCAACAGGCCAAAAGCAGAATTGTTGCGAAAACAACAGTTTTTCTTTGATTTTTTTTGCTGTTTTGGATTCAACGGACAAATAACTGAAACTTTTTTTGCTCAAAATTGCTCCAAACGAGCAACTTTTTGAAATCCGCTAAAACATTTGCAACTAAAATTACGGAATCCAGAACAAGATGTGGAAATCATAAACAAAAAATGAGACATACGTTTTTATAAATTTGATCTGTCGTAGAATCCGCAATTGTAAGTAAAATCCGCGAATCGTATGCGGAAACCGCAAATTGTAAGCGGATTTGGCAAATTGAAAATATAATCCGCAAATTATAAGTGGAGTCCGAATAAGTTCGTGGAATCCAGTCACACTTGCAGAATTCGGAACAACTGTCGATATCCGCTCGTTGCGGAATCCGCAACAAAATTGTTGTGCAAAAAAAAATTACACTACAGTTATTTGC